TTATACAAATTTTTAACAAAAAAGTCCAGTAGCTATAAACAGCAAAATAAATAATGTGAACAAAAAGTGTTTATAGGATACAGTCTATAAAATGCTCTAATAATAGGGCATCTCTGGTGCACAGCACGCTTCAGGTCACCCCACAGATTTTTAGTTGGATTCAGGTCTGGGCTCAGGCTAGACCATTCAAAAACATTGAGCTTCTTTTGATTAAGCCATTCCTTTGTTGATTTGGATGTGTGCTTTGGGTCACTGTGAAATTTCTTTTCATCTTCAGCTTACTAGCAGATGCCTGAATGGTTTGCACTAAAATCGACTGGTATATGTAGCTATTCATGATTCCTTCCAGCTTGATAAAGCAGCCCTAAAGCATGATGCTGCCACCACCATGTTTCACCATGGTTATGGTGTTATTTTGGTGATGTGTTTTTTTTGCGCTAAACATACCTTTTGGAATTATGGAATTATTATAACTTTTGGAATTGGTCTCATCAGACCATAACACATTTTGCCACATGGTTTGAGTTAATTTATTTGAGCTTGGATTTGTTTTTTTTTTGTGAGAAAGGGCTTCTGCCTAGCCACCTACCCCACAGCCCAGACATGTGAAAAATACGAGAGATTGTTGTCACATGCAGAGAGTAATCGGTGCTTGTCAGATATTCTTGCAGCTTCTTTAATGTTGCCATAGGTCTCTTGGCAGCCTCCCTGGTATGTTTTTGTCTTGTTCTTTTATAAATTTTGGAGGGACATCCTGTTCTTGGTAATGTTACTGTGGTGCTCCATTTTCTCCATTTGTTGATGATGACCATCACAATGTTCCATGGCACATGTAATGTTTTGGAAATTCTTTTATATCCTGGTCAATATCTTTCAACAAGTGAGATGTATGCTTTCTCAGCTCTTTGCAGACCATGGCTTCAGCAGTCAAAAGAAGCCAAGAAGATGTCAAGAAAATTCTCCAGAAGCAGCTGATCTTTATTTGGGGTTAATAACTTTTTCCTATTTTTCCCTAAAATGTTTCTGATTGTTTTTCACTTCACTTGTACATGTTGTAATTTCATACTGAGGGTGGAAAAAGTTCTGACATGATTTATCTTAGTTTCATTCATTTTTACTCCACAAAAACCTGCCATTTTAACAGGGGCATGTAGACTTTTTATATCCACTGTACATATTTGCCTAATGTGTATAACAGTCGTGTTATGAAATGTTCATAACACTGGAAGTGGTCCTTAGGTGCAAAAAGTTTTAAAATGTGTACATTAGGTATCTTTGAAGGTAACATGTTTAACCCATGCACATTTTAATGCCTGTATTAGGATGTGCATAAACAGCAACAGGAACGTGATCTGAATTATTTTAAGGAAGCCTTAGTGAGGAATGAAACAGGCAATTATCTACACACAAACACATACACATCCGCACAGACGGATATTCTCATGAAGTGTTACAGAAGTGGGAGTTGAAATATTTTGCTGGAGGCGAGAGGAGATTGCTCGTCACCACTTAAGAGTCTTTCCCTCCTACCAGCCCATGATTGCTGTGAAAACAAGCCTGAAGTAACCCAAAGACTTTTCAAATACAATAAACACACACACTTTTTCATCCAGGGTTATAAAACAGTCTATAGCCTATATATGTGTATATGTATATATACCTTACCCACTTACCCAGAGTTACAAAACAGTATATATCATATATATATATATATATATATATATATATATATATATATATATATGATATATATACTGTATATATATATGTATATGAAAATATATATATATATATATATATATATATATATATATATATATATACACGTGTGTGTGTGTGTGTGTGCAAAAGACACCCTAGACTAATTTTGTCAGATTATTGTGTCAGTAAATAAAGTTTTAATAGCATGTTATGTAATAGACCACCTTTCAGACAAAAAAATGAATGCTGGCTGTCAGGTTTTACCTGCAAAAAACAGAAGCAAGTGTGTCAGTCAAAGTCTCCAGAAGAACTGTGGCAGATTCTCCAAAATGGTCAGTAAAACTTACCTTTCAATTTCCTTATAAAACTGCACAAAATATATCTGAGACTACTATTGCATTTTTAATACATATATATATATATATATATATATATATATATATATA